CTCTTTTTTTCAATTTTTTTTTTAAAAATTCACCAAACCCTTAAATCTGACAAAGACATACCTTCGCTGTTATCTCGGGGATACGTGTACGGTATACTTTTTGCATTTTAAGACGATTTGATATCGAAATTACCCGCCTTAGTCGCACAGAAACTGCGATGCATCCTGAACAGGCTGTGCGCGCTCCCGCGGATCGTAATCAGTTTCTGGCAGACAGTCACTTTTTGGCACAACACCTGAATACTGAGGGGAACCCTGCACGACATGAGGACAGCATGCAAACTCCACTGGCCATAGAGAGAGAACGCAAAGGTACAATACACGGTGCAGAGAGACTTGCACTATAGGCTAATAGCAGGACATCTCGGCATGCTGCTCGTGATTTGGTGTGTAGTTTTTGAGGCCGCATTCACCGCTATGAGGATGCCTGCATGCTAGACAGCAACCATAACCCGAATAAAGTTTATTTACCGAGTAACGTAGAATGCACAGCAGCTGGACATTATTAAACCAGATCAAAACTATCTGATAAACTTCGTTAAATATTTTGCAGACTTTTCTCCTCACACAAGTGTGTCACGCTTGAGTTTAAATCGTATCTGTTGCACTGGGTCTTTGTCTTTATTGTAAAAGCACGGCTGCGGTGATTTCCAATGTTTTGCAGCCTGTATTAATAAATCTAGGTGGAACGGAAAATTCAAGTTTGGATGAGGACCAAAACCACTTTATCACTGGTTTGATACCCTCTGCGATTTGGCTTGGGGTGAAAATAAACATCTAGGCATGATAATTAATAGGTGTTGTGCCGAAAAAGGCATCCCTGCTCATAATATGAGTTTACATAAAAAGAAACGATAATTTACACGCGTTACAAAAGAGAGCTTTCCTTTCGCTGTTTTCAGTGCTGCGCGCTCCCGAGACAGGCATGCATTCTCAGGCAAGGATGCCTTTTCCATTGAACATTAAATACGTCCTGAATAAGCCCTTCAACAACACGTCAGACATACCAGCTAAGAGACTTTATCGCCTTATCTCAAGCCAGCTATAAGTAAATGAATAGGTTTCAAGCTGTAGGGTTGAGCTAACATACTGCTATCAACAAATGTATCTTTAATTTAAAAGTCAGTTTGATAAAAAAAAATGTACGTGACATATATACTTTGCACTCATTTCTATAAACATTGAGACACGTAAAAAAGACCAACTGATAGGTTCGAATGAATAATGGATTGCGTCAGACTATACATTTTCACTTTTGAAAAACAAAATTACAAGCCTGATTAAGTTGCCGATTAACTGCTCATTAATAAACTATATTCTTTTCATATTCAAAAATAATCTAGTAAAACACTTCAGTAATGTATAGTGAAGATAAATGACAGAGAAACAACTTTTGGATGGACAGTTTGTCACATTAGTATTTTAACTTCCACTTTCATATTAGATTAATCACCTTTTCTGGGCAAAAAGCGACACCAGATACAAATACTTGGTTTATTTTGAAGTGTAAACATCACTCGTGCTTACAGTTATATACAAATCACATATACCTGTGTTTATACAGGGCATATATACATCAAATAAACTCATTTAAGTGTTACAAACAAACAGAATTAATAAACTCACTCCACTCATGAAAAACACATTTATATTGACTAATAAGTTTCCACCCACCTCATAATGAACAGAAAACGCAGATCACAAGACTTCTTATATATCCATTAGGTAACTTTTGATATATAGACCAATATAAAAAAACAGTATAGTAGATAAGACAGGAATCCACGACTATTAAATACCGTGACGTTTAACTTTCACTTTCCGTAGAGGCTTTACTTACCGTAAATGAAGTCAAGTTTCACATTGAATAACTTTGGCCAAACACGTCATCCTAGTAAATAATTAAAGTAAATACAGTTTTTCTTTTTAAAATAGAATAATAACAATGTTTCGAACCATTCGTCACGTCATACGTTTTATTGTAATAAAATGAAACTTAAACTTGCGCTCATCATTCATTTTTACTTTGGTTATGATAACTTATTAGTGATGAATACTGACCGCCGTAATAATAGTAACTGACAACAATCAGACTTTTTAATGTTTAATGTAATTAATGGCAAAATTATAAATATGGGAAACTGGTGGTATACTCATTTTTTAATATAAAACTTGAAAAATGTAACCTAAGGATTTTTACTATACGCCGGTAGATTTCTGTGCCAGTTGACATGTGATAACTGAACCCTTTGTGGGCTTGTTGGCACAGTAGAGGTTTATCAACAAATTCCAGCTCCTAGAGCTTCAACATGTCTAGAGAGATGTTATCTACTGTATACTATGGGGTCAGGGCTTTTGAGTATATGGCCAAAAACAGACGGGAGGGCAGTGGTAATTAAGGGCACCATCAACCTCAATTTGCTGACTAAGTTATCCAGAAACTCTCCTCATTGTCTTTTGGTCAGGGAGCCTCATTCAGCACCGTCAAATCTTGTATAAGAGTTTCCTTTTTTTTTCTATATATTCCCTCCCCCCCCCCCCCCCCATGGAGGACTGCTTTATTTTTAATTTCCATTGCAAAAAAACATGAGGAACCAGGCCATGAGGGCCCCCAGCCCACAACTCTCAGCCCCAGCACGAGCTGGGCTCAGATCCAAGAAGGCCCAGAAACCAGACAGCAGTGTCCACCCCCAGCAGGAGGCCCAGCCCGAGTCCCCCCCCCCC